TCTTAACTCGGTGACACCAGGAGCGCCACTAACCTAAGTAAAGAATCTGGGAGTCAAGAAATTTTCACTTCAAAATGGTCAGTGTCCCTCTGCTCCAGTACGTTTCCCCCTCTGCTGTCAGTAGGAAACTTTCTAAAAACCCAGATTTTGTCTCCCTTCTGCTCAAATATCTTTAATGGCTTCCTGTTAACGACAGGATGAAGTCCAAAGTCCTTATGGCAGAATAGTAGTGTGACTACGAGGACAGCTTTATAGCCACTGAGACCTGAATTTGACTTTGAGCTTAAGGTCTTCTTGCAGGTTGCTTTACCTGGCTGAATTTCAGTTTTTTCATCTGTAAAGTGGGACTAATAATAATATCTACCTTTTAAAGTGGTTGAAAAGATTAAGAGATGTAGTAATCCTTGTAAACTGGTTAGCGCAGTATTTAGTAAGCACATAGATGTTTAGTAGGTAATTACTATTAACATGGCATTCAAGATCCTTCACATTTTAACCTCTCTTTACTTTCATAGCCTCACCTCCTGCCACATCATCCTATTCTAGCATCATTTCTAACACCCAAGTCTCTTGTCTTGCCTCCATGGTTTTCCTTCTCCTTAAAATCCCTTTCTTTCCTTGTCTACCTGGCAAAATTCCAATTCTGTAGGACAGTGAAGCCTTCTCACACACCCATTCCTCTCTTTCCAGTCACAGCTCCTATACCCATGAAGATCATGCCTCCTAGATTCTCTGGAATAATTCAAATCTCAAGTAGTCTGTGAAATTGTCAAGAATGTGTCAACTTCTCTTTGCATTTTTTATTCTAAAAATATGATTGTCAAACCACAGCACTTGTGCATACTCTATGATGACACTTATTATGTTTTATTCTAATGATTTATGTGTCTATTTTTCTTATTAGTCTGTGATCTTTTTGAAGGCAGGAATTTTATCTTCATCTGTGTATACTAGGAATTCCCAAAGTACCTAGGACATAGTTGAGGTTAAATATCGTTAATTCGGTGAATGAATGAATTAATGACTAAGTGAATGAATAAGGTACCTATCCTTTTATTTTGCCTCTACATTGATCTTGCCAGGCTGTAGCTACTCCATTTTGACCTTAGGAGCTGTCCTAAGATACGAAGATCACTTTAACAAAGTGCTGTGTGTCTGTCTGTGTATGCACTATTCTCTTCAAGTTTGTATGTGTGACTCTATTTTGAGTGCACCAGATTTCCCCCCTTTTCCAAAGTATATATTGGTGAACTCTCTTTTCCATTTCCTTGGGGGCCCCAAGCCAGCATGTCCTGCTCTGCCCTTGCTTCCACACCCTGCCACGTCACCCCAGTTCTGCTATGCCAGGAATGTTACTGAGGAAGAGTGGCTCTATGACTCAGAGGCCATCCTAGGAATTGAGAGGGAGTGGGGGCAGAGACAAGGTTTGGGGGAAAAGGTGGGAGACAGCCCTAGCTCCACTTTTTGAATTTTGCCTTCATCCATTCGTATATTCAGGAGATATGTATTGAGCACCTACTCTGTGCTATGCACTATTCTAGATGCTTGAGATATGAAAACAGGTAAGATGTAATCTTTGCCCTGAAATGCTCAGTCTTATGAGGGAGACAAACAAGTAAACAAACTGACATAATACAAGGTGGTAGGAGTAACAGTAGCTATTTTCTAGTACATAAAGGAGAAACAAAGACCCCTAAGAAGCTACAGAACAGAGATCTCTCCTTTCAAAAGGGCTAAAATCAAATTCACAGATCAAATCCCAGGGAGGAGATCCCCTTGTTGACCTACCGCCTTGGTGCCTCAGGGCTTTATCGGTCTATTTCCACTTTCAAAATCAGAATCATAAAATACTTCAACGCTATACAATTTCATTGCTATGGAATTGCAAATTGCAATACAACCACTTGAAGTTTGTGTATCTTCAGTACTCAAAGGAAGATGAAGAACCCAGCAGGTGGCAGCAGGGAAACAACTGTTTTCGATCTTGGTAAAGGAGGGATAGAAGGCAGAGGTAAACGGGTGCGGATATTTTCTGGATGTTCAGGTCCTAGGTTCCTTCTCAAAGACCCAGAAGACATCCAGGTAGAGGATAACCAGGCCATCATGGGGGCTGCAAATTCGAGGATCCTCCGCTACATTCCTCTTCATTTATTCATTCTACAAATAATTATTGAGCCCTTACTATGTACAGTTATACCATGAGAGCAGCTGGAGATAGAAGAGTTAAACACAGTACTTGCTCTCTAGAAGCTTACATTCTGTTCAGAGTCACGTCTTCAGATCCCCACCAGTGTTCATAATCTCCGGGGCATTTTGTTAAAACAGAGCAGGGTAAGAACGAAGAGTACACTAGAATGGGGAATTTCGCTGTCTCCTTGCCCTTTGGAGCTTAGGTAACTGACGCAGGCTGAGGGCTTGGATCGCAGGAAGATTGTGATATGTTTCTGATCATCTTCCTTGGCCTTTTTTGACAGTTCATTCGTTCATTATCAAATATTTCCTGAGCTCCGTCACTGTGCTCAGAATTGCGCTTGAGGAAAAGTGTAGACCTGTTTCGAATGTTAAAGGAAAACAAGATGTGCACGCACATTAAACTAAATAGTAAACAAAGCAGTAAAGCCGGAAGAATGGTTGGTGGCATGTGATGTTTTGTTATATTCAACTCTTAAACGACTCTGACTTGACCCCAGCGCTTCTGTCGGGAGTTCTTCCCTGGACTGTGAAATCGAAAGGGCCAGCCCCGCGGAATTTTATCTGGAGATCAGACACCGCAAATCAGCCCCTTCGAAGAGCTGAATCTAGATGGACCCATCGAGCCACCGTAGGGAAGGTCTACGGACAGGAGGAGCGCGCTGTCTTCGACCCTTGGATTCGTTAGGGCGTGAGGGACCCGCATCATGTGACCAATAACAGCTTCCTGATTGGCTTGGTTCCCTTCAGGGCCTCCCTCCCCTCTATTGGGTGGAAAGGGCCGCGGAGAAGGTTAGACGCATGCGCAGTGCCCGGATTTCCCTGGCCGCGCTGAGTGGAGAGGTGGGGTTGGTCGATAAACAGGCTGTGGCTAGGAAGGAGGGGGAGGGGGCGTTCGCTCAGCTAGGACTTCTCACACCCCGTTGTTCTTTTAGGTGTGGTTTCGTCCAGACGCGGGGTGCCGGCGGACGGCTTGAGCTTAGTCTCATGTGAAAGGGGAAAGTAGCTCCCGCGGAAAGCGGTTAAAGTTGCGGATCGGGTGCGAGACGGCAGATCACCCCCATGCCAGCCGAATGGTGCGGCCCTGAGTTGGTCTAGGAGCCGGCCCGACGTCTCAGAGGCAGGCCGCGGAGGGGGCAGGAGGGGGCCCGCAGAGCGCGGGTTATGTGAAGAGACGTGGGGAAGATTCGACTCCGAGAAGAAGAGCCCGTTGAAAGGGAGCGAGGCCGCTGAGGGGGAGGGGGCTGCCAAGATGGCGTCGGCCTCCTCTGGGCCGTCGGTGGTGGGGTTTTCATCCGTGGATTCCGGGGTCCCTCCCTGCACCTCGTCTTCAGGTAATCAGGGTGGGGCGTGGGCTGGGGGCGGATGACGCCTGTGCGCTGGGAGGAAGAGCGAGACCCAGGAAGGGCACCTGTAGCTGGGGATGTCCGAGGCGTTGCCGGTAAGAACAGAGGGCTAGGCTTTCTTATAGCAGGGCTGTCTGAGCGGGCAGGGAGAGTCTGAGGAGAGGATGGCTTTGACTAAGAAAAGGGAAGATGTCAACGTTGGTTGTGTTGGAGGAGACCGAGTTGAGGACTTCGAAGAGTAGGGTCAGGAAAGGATGGAGATTGTCGGTGGGGGCAAGAATGAAACAGAAAGGGAACCGAAGGGAGAAGATAAAAGAGTGGAGTGAAAGGAGGCCTCATAAGTAGAGCGGAATTACGTAGTGTGAGAGGCAGAATCCAAGCTGATTGTGGGGTTAATGGGATAAAAATGTGGAAGAGAAGCCATGGGACTTAAAAGACCTGGAAACGTTACGGGACGCTTTCGATTGCTGGGGAGTTAGGGAATTGTGGATTTTGTTGGAAGCGGGAGTTATTTGGAGCCGTCTCTTTCCTCAGAGGCTTCCCCAGTGCGTCATTCCTTCTCCCTTCGTGCACTCCCCACTCCCCCACACATCCCACATATAAACACGCGGGCGATCGCACAGACACACGTACACATTTTATCAGGCATCCTCCTTTGGTGACTCTCATCTCTAGACTGCTCAGCTTTGGGAAGGAATGGGAAAATTTGAAGAGAGTCTGAGGAATGTAGAAAATTAGGGCTGAAAGCCCCTGAAAACAGAGGGAGAAGGTGCAATGATGGAGTCTTGAATTGCGGTAGAGGCTGAGGGAGGTGATGCTGGGAATTAGGCCTGAGAAGGATAGGGTAGGGGGTGGCTCTAAGTGCTGTGGGAGAATATTGCATAATAGGAAATGGACTGGAAGAATGCTTAGGCAGGAGATTGGCACTTGGAGAAGAGAGCCAGGGAATATAGCTCAAAGTAGTTAGAAACTATTGAAGATTGAGGGAGGACTGAGAAGCCCACAAGAAAAGCAACAGATTGTGTGTAGGAGAGAAAATGTGTGGTGTTGGGATGTGTGTGTGTATGTGGCCGGGGGAGTCTGAGTCAGAAATTCTAGAGCTTCTGTCAGAGGTGTCTGGTGTTCCACAGTTACTGTTGCCTCTACACTGTGAACAGGACAGGCTGCCAGATGATGGATGCTTTACTTGAGACGCTGACATTTCCTTAGGCCCGGTATTGCATTCTACCCATTTTGAATTGACTATATAGAGGGTTCCACTTTTCCTACTCCAGCTCAGATGAGCGAATACTCGGTCACAAATATCTTCTTCATAAACTGCAGTTTTATTTATGTACATCTATTTTTAGTTTCCTGAGAGTGATTTTTGCCTTTCCTAAAAAGATTAGAGGGCCAGAACAACTCATGTTGCATTCTAAGTGTGAAGAAGGATAAGGTAAAAATGACAGTTTTTAATATAGTACTCCTTAATTTAAAACCTTTTCTCCCCTCCTCCAGTGCAGAAAGAATGGTTGTGTATAGTTCTTAAACTTCTTAACTATCAAATCAGGTGTTAGAAACCAGGTTAATCTTAAAAGCTGTATGTTTATATCCCAAAATTTGATTCAGCCTCTGTCTCATGGAAGTATTGGCCAGGTGGACAGATTTAGGGTTAAAAAGAAATATTTCTATCATATACTGATGTATCTTCCTCCTCTTCAGGTCTCTACTCCTACTTAAGATAGTCCTACCATCTTTTTTAAATGTCACTATTTGATATTTTTAGGTTTTTTCCCCAGATCCTAGTATTAGCAGGTAGTAATTCAGATTTTATAAATGTTTTTTCTATTGAAAAACTAGAAAATCAAATATTTGGTTTCAGTGGGCTTTACAGTGCCTTGGTTCTACTACATTCATATGTGAAGTCAAGGTGTAATAATGACTAAGAATAAATAGCTTTAGATTCCTTTTTTTTACTTTAATTTCTTACAGCCACCTTCTCTGCTTCTTTGGCAAGTACTGTAACAGTTGGATTAAGAAATATTCTCATAAATATTCCTGAAAACATGAAATTACTGTGTGTAGATATGGAGTGTTGACTTTTTGCTGTCTCTGCACATCCACTTAGATTTTGGCTTACTGAATTTAATTTAATAGAGTATTTCATTTCAAGGATATGTTTTTGAAGAGGATAAGATGTTTGATTCTGATGCAACAAAAGCTGTAGAGAATGTGTTTTATTTGTGATTGGAGGGGAGTGATGCTCTGGATGGTACTGGGGAATTAACACATTGGCAGGAATAAGGAGTGGTTTATAATTTCCTAAATTGTTAAAGACTAGAAGGCCAGCTTTGTAGAAATTCAAGGTAGGAGAGTGTATGTTTGTGTTTTAATCATCCTGAAACCAACTTACTGTCCTTAGATGTTTAGCTGAATTCACAAGGTTTTCTGGCAGTGTTGAAAGTGGATACAAAATAAGAATATCAGGATTCAGGGACAGATTGATGTTTTAGATGAGCCACTCAGAACCTTTGGAGGCTCAAAATCTTTTGGCATTCAAATTAGGAAGGACAGATAATTTAGAACAATTAGCTGTTCCAAGGCTATATTAAACCCCTGTCTAGATTATTTAGCCATTAAAGCCAGAGCTGGTCTTTTACGCTGCTGAGAAGTGAAATACAGAGGGTAGAACAAACCATATGCTCTAAGAGATATTTGACATCTTTTCCCATAGAGTAATTACCATGTTTGGATTTGAGGGAGGCAGTTATAAATGAATATCAGCTTACAGCAGCCATCAACATGTGCTTGTTCTTAAACTTTGGTTATTAATAAAAGGTACTGCAGTTTGCTGTCAGCTGTTTGGTGTGTAAAGGAAGTTTATCGCTTCTCTTCCTTTCTCCTCTATCTTCATTATTTGGACGGTGGCACCACTTAAAAAAATGAAATCAGCCCTGATAAGGTGTTGACAGTGCAACATCTGTCACACCCGGATACAAAGAGCCTGTTTCCCTATCTGTAGTTTGACTAGTCCTTCAAGAGTTTGAAATTCAGCCACTGAGTCCCCTTTTTACTACCAGGAAGGGAGTAAAGAGTTTCTGTTTTACAGACTTGATTTTAAGTTAGTAGAGGAGTTAAAAAAGTAAAGTTAAAATGCTAAGGTGTCTATTCTCCCCTGAAATAAGAGCCGTGTGATAAAATCATGTGTGACTCCCCTAAGAAAAAAGTGTTCGAAACCTTAGAACATCATGAACCTGTATGTAGCTCATTTTGCTTCAGACCAAAACATTTCTGTATTTGTCACACTTCACCAGGTGATTTTTATCATGAAAAGTCAGCTCCTTTTCTGACTTATTTTTCTCTTAACTACTAAGGAAAACTCCAGAAGACCCAGGATTGAAGCATTTTTGCTTTGAACCTTTATAGTAGGGTTGGTCTCATCAGTCCTTGATTCTGGTAGCTTTGTTCTTCCCAACAGAGAGCTCTACCAGTAAATTATGCTGTAATTGGATAACTCCATATGGTAGGAATTTTGTTGAGGGCTTTTTGTCTGTGTTCTTTGTCTACAGTGCAAGCCATTTGTAGACTGATTCTTTTCCCTTCACTTCTTCCATACAGTGAAAGGTAAAGCAACTTATACCACTTACTGGAGTGAGAAACTGAAATTTGGAAATGTAAAGATAGCACAGAATGCCATGTAATCAGAATATCACCAGGTACCATTTTGGTTGGTATTTTGTAAGTAGGGAGAGGTTTTTCTGTTTGCTTTCTCCAAAGAGATTTGACATCACCCCCGCCCCTTTTTCTTTTGTCCCCTTGGTATATTCTGTCAGAAAACTGACATCAGAATGTCATTGTTTTTGATTAACCATTTATTTCTGCCATGGCTGCTTCAGCCCAGTGTTCATTATAATTATATAGATTTATTAGGTATCCAGCATCTGATATTGATTGGTAAGGTGTACTTACAGGTTAGCTTTGAATATCAAAATACATATTATGTTTTGTTTGTTAATTTCTGTATGTGTTCTGGGTTGATATAAAACTCTTCTGATTAATAGCTTTGTTCAAATATGTGCTAGCTACTGGCTATTATGTATTTTATCAGCCTGTTTTTCTTTGATGATATAATGGAAAACTATAGCCTGTGAAGTGAACAACAGAGGTAGTACCTGGCCAAACTCAGAACTGGGGAGAAGGAAGGGGAGGTTATTTTATCCTTTAAGTGGATGTTTTCTTTCCTAGAATTTTGGGATATTCTTATTCGACATGAAGAAACCAAAAAGACCAAAGTTGTCAGTTTCTTCTCCCTTTCCTTTTTTCATTGGATGTATCCTCTTGATCAAAGATAAAAGTATACCTCAGGAAGCATGCCACTTTCTGATAACCTGGCAGAGGGGAATCTCTTTCTCTGTGTTCGAAACCCCGGGCCACCATTCAGTCTCAAAGGCAGAGAGTGTTTTGACCGATGGTGTTTCCTGGAGGAAACCCCTTCCTAGCTCACTTCCCCTATAGCACTTCACTTCTCCACCCTTTCCTATCAAAAGAGAGCATTGTTTAGTTTGTACATATGTGTTGATCCTGTTTTGTTCCTGTCTCCTGTATGATCTGTTTTTTTTCCATTGTTTCCTGTTTGTAGTGGACTTTTTTCTCAACTGCTCCATCTTTTTAAACTTGGTCACCAATTATTTTTTTCTCTTTCTGTTTATTTGTAATGGCTGTATACATTGAGTATTAATTTTTAATCTGATTCCCAAAAAGGCCTCTTATTGTTGGAGTCTGAAGAATACTATCAAAAAGAGAGAGAAGGACAGATTCCTTGTAGGGAGTTCAGTATATCTTGTTTGCCTTGTATACTAAACTGAGCAATATGTAATTCGCTCAGAATAAGCACTGTCCCAAAGGATCAGTAATGTTGAGGGGGAGTAGGCAAAGGGAAGTTGAGGGGAGAGAACGGAAAGAGGTTTTTTTAGGATATATAAATAGCTTAGAGTATATTAGCTTTCCTG